ATGTGATGGAATGTAGGCGGTTAGGAAGACAGGAGCCGAAGACTAAGTGTTGTAAGGAGGTTTGACGGAAGGTCGTATAGCTTAGGAGTAGGTCACAAGGTTAGTTTTTGAGGATCCAAGTCTTCAAATGTCTTCCCTCCATAGAGGATATAACCACTATATCATCATTGCTTATCTCGCTTTGGATAAGAGATACTAACACCCGGTTTCTGAAAAGCTTGTCAACACTAAAATTAACTAATCTCCTGTTAAATCTCTTGTCAAGTCATCTGATTGGTTGACTGAATTATCAACAACCAATCAGATGACTTGACAAGAGATTAAATTGATTTTAACATTGATCGGCGTTTCGGTAACCGGATCTAAGACATACTCTTACTGACTAAAAACTGTGTTCTTCTTCTGGTCCAGTTACATTGACGATTTTGCCTTTTAGTTCAAGTATTACAGTCGTTTTTATTTTTCAGTTTTGTTTTTACTTTTGAATTTGTAACAGCTTTTGCACATTATATATTATATATTTTCTTACATTGGGGACTTTAAAGAGAGACTTCTGAGTTTGTTTCGTCAGAGTAGTCAAATAAATGCCGGTTTAATTTAGTTTTTTAAATATGCTGTTTTGTGGCCAATTTGCAAAAATAAATACATTCAATTGTTTCATTGATTTTGTCAAAAAAAATTGACTACTTTCCTATAACCTGTCCTTTTCTAATGAAAGTAAACCCAGTCTTATAATTTAGACCATGGCTGTACACAGCAGCGCATACCGAAGTCATGTAGGTAGAACAATGCCTCCGATTGCCTTAATATTAAATATTAATGTTGAAGCTTATTGAATATGCATACGACAGAATATAATATACCTACAGTACACTATGTAGATACTAATATGTGGCTAGCCTTGTGTCAATTGAGGTATGAGACTCGAATTCACTAATAAATCTCAAAACACTTCATGTTCGCAATTTTGTTGTTTAAAAACTTTATTTTCTCAAAAACATTTCCAAAATATCACTTTCTAGAGAAATATATCTAACTGAAAACTAATTATAGAGAGCACACATACACAGGATAATTTAAAATCTAAAACATAGATATCGGTAGTTAACAATAACCTGGCAGTAGAAAAATTAAGAAAAAGTGGGTATAAACAAAACAAATAGCAACTAGTAGCCAGTCCGATCATATACATAGATGAGGTGACTTACTCGGATGAATTTCTTTACTTGTAAAACCTAATTATTACCTACGTTATAATAAACCTGCGAAGTGCCATTTTCAGTGCAATTTGTTCTGGTTACCTTCGATCTACTTAGATTTGTACTTGGCTGTTGTTGGTCAAATTATCTACTTTGAACTTCTTTATGATCGCGGTTAAATCTAAGGTGATAAGTTGGCATGCAAGTCGATTTCTGCCTTCTTTTATAAAATTATAAGGTACATATGAAAATGAAATTAAATGAAAAAAGCGTTAATTCATAATTGCAGTAAATTTACAAAAAATATTACTTCTGCCAAACTGTAAAGCAGTTTCTTGGCAGATGTCCCGTATAATTTTATTAAAATTTAATTGTAGTTATCTATTACTGCCAATCATCATCTAAACCACGAAGCGAATATATACTGTTTTGGGTGCATAGCCAAATAATTGTACATAAATGAACCATGGGGTGATTGTAATAAAAACTTTACAATTAATTTTTTTTGTATTATAGTTATAAATATATATTCGCACATAACGAGAATAGCTTTACTTTGTTGCAAAATACATAATCTCTTTTTCTTATTGAAAACGAAACACATTCGCATTTAAAACGCAACCATCTTACTCAATCTGTCACTTTCCTTCACATGACGGATAAATCAGTTAGAAAGAGAAGCCAGACTTATACTTGCTGTGAGAACTAACAACTACCTATAACAATAGAGTATTTTTTGCGTCATTATATTTTTAATTATAATGTAAAAACTAGGTAGGTATTTGGGATACGATCAGTTTTTGAGAAGTGTGCTAATACGTAAATTGAGGAAGTTGTCTGTCATGTTGACTGTAGTTTTCTCTTGCGCCATGTCTAGCCAAATAGAAAAAAAAAACAAGATGTCTTCTTATAAAATGATTGACGTTACAAGTTTCAGTCCATTTTTTTCCCTCTATTATAATTACTAATACATTTTATTTTACTATCGACAGTTGAATTAGGTACCTATTTTTGTTATTCTTATTTTGTTTAGCTTTGATCTCAATTTTTATTTAAGCCGGCACAGACTTAGCATTGTCTCTGTAGACTCGTTGATCCGATAAAAATGCGGCTTAATTTTTTTATTTTATTTTATAAAAATATCATACCGGTAATTGAATTATGGAAGTATGTATTCCATATTTAAAAAAAGAGAGCACAGCGAAAATTTTTTTTATGGATATGTCACGTGTGACATTTAATTCGAAGGTATATTTTTCTATTTACTTATGGTAATAGTTAAGAAAAAAATACTTTTTATTACACTTACTTAAAAGTCTATCTAGCGTGTTTTTAGTCTGTGCATAAGACAATAGATTGTGAAATGTGAGAGAATGTGCTAGTGACGAGATTATGTATTTTAAGTTCCTTGTTTTATGTAGGTATACTGAGATATATAAAGTTATAGTTATAGTGAGTACATAACTTTAAAATAGGTACACTTACGATTTTATTACACATAAAAGTTGGTGAAACTGCAAACAATTATAAATTACACATAATTTTTTATCTAATGAAAATCATGAGAATGCTTTATAATAGTATAGTAGTTTGGCTTTAAGTACCTACAATAGGTAAATGTTACTTTTATTTGCTTTTTACGCTTAATAAAAAGATGGAGGCATAAAAATTATCGTGTAAGTAGCTAAATCAATAGCTTCTTTATAAGTTTCGAATCATCAAAGGACTTCTCTCGCCTGGGGAAGGGAGTATCGAGTATCAGACTCTTACTGACTAAAAACCACCGGTTCATTCCCCTACTCTAGGCTGGCTACAGGATTAAAAGCTAGGATCTAATCTTCATACACACCCGGTTCCTAAAAGGAAAAAAATAAAAAATAAAATAAACGCTAAAATTAACTAATCTCCTGTTAAATCTCTTGTCAAGTCTTCTGATTGGTTGTTGATAATTCAGTCAACCAATCAGATGACTTGACAAGAGATTAAATTGATTTTAACATTGATCGGCCTTTCGGAAACCGGGTGTTAGTCTCAAATTATGACGCAATTAGATGTTTTATGCGTGTCGCTGTTTTTCTATGACCGTAGAACGTGGATGCGAGCTGATGCTGCAATTATGTGATGACTTAATAATCTGGCATTATGACACGGCATCCATGCTTCCTACTTACGATACATCACGCATAGTTCTTATGGCTGTCTTGTATTAATTAAAATGAACTGTTAATACTTACTTAATATAAAACGCACCTCCCCTATTGTTATTTCAAAAAGTTATAAGGTTTAGAACGTGTTACGTCTGAAGGCGTTGGCCCGGAGGTTTCGAAACCTGGGAAGGACCAATGTGACTTTTTCCGAGTTATATGTACTTTCTAGGATTATTTAGACACCACTGGCATACGGTGAAGGTAAACATCGTGAGGAAACCTGGACTTATAATTTCTAATTATAAGTTTGAAATCGCCAACCCGCATTGAACAAGCGTGGTAATTAATGATCAGGCCCTCTCCGTGTGAGAAGAGGCCCAATGAGTAACAGCAGTGGGCACTTATAGGCTGATGATGATGATAATGTCTGAAGGATTTAGACTTTGTTTTGCCTTCAGCCTTGATAAATGCTCACTGCTGAGCGAAGCAAAGCAAGGAGTACCTATGTAAGAAAATAGCGATCCCTTTAAAATTCGAAGAATTAAGAACTGTCGTCGTTTCGTTCATTCGACTGGATCGATGATTTATTCTGAATTGAGATAAATAATCGGGACAAACCCAGCTACAAGGAAAGTTGCTCATTGGGTTTCTGCAAACTGAAACATAATGTTATGACCTTTAGTGACGTTTTTTTAAAATAAAAATACATATTTGTCGCACAATCAAAACACCTGAACTTTATATTTGCAAATTAGTTTGTATTTCTCAATTCGTTGATACATATTTGATTCAATCTTGATGATTGATCTTGTTACAAAATAATAATACAAATAAAAATATGATCGCTCCAATCTCCAGAAATGCTGTTTCGAATTAAATACCCGTATAAATAATGATATGTCAAATAAATGTTAAGGTTTTTGTAAAATCACTCAGTTGCAAGTAAAAGTTGCCATCTGCCAAATTGCATATTTTGTGACATGTTTCAAATTTTAAACAGTTATGATTCAAGTCACATTTTAACACTTTCTTGAAGTATGAAAGAGTTTTTTAATGTTTTGTAGGTGTACAAAGATGAATGCTAAAACGGAATGGCATTCTTGTTTCGTCATTCACGGATAAAGTCACTTATGAATCAATACAAAGATATTCTGCTTAATGATCTTATTGGCATTTAATTTATTCAAATATTGTATAGTTATACACTGTGTCAATGTGCAGCCAATGATTTGATAGCTATAGTTAATACATTTGAGTTGTTCTGTTTTCGAAAAACCATTTTAGGCACTTTTGAATCGATGCCATTAAAGTATATGTATGCTGAAAAATATGATTTATATAATATAACTTACTAATATTATAAATGCAAAGGTTATGTTTGGATGTTTGTCACTCAATCACGCCAAAACGGTTGAACGGATCTGGATGAAATTTGGCACAGACTCCGGAATAGGACATAGTTTACTTTTTAACAACGCACCGGTGGAAGATAGTTGTTTAATATATACCTACGTTAATTAAAAAAAAAATATTGGTATGAAAATAACGATTTATTTAAATATCTAACAGGTAGGAGGTAAAACCTTAATAATCATCTTCTAATATAATAAAATCTGTTCTCGAAACTAACAGTATTCTGTCTCTTTCTTTCCAGTTGAGATCTACCTATCGCCCGTGGAGACACACTGCAGCAATGTGGACTACTTCATCCCTGACGAGAACAACGAGACGAAAGGCCTGTCGGACGACGCGATGAACAGGTAACATAACAATACTATTTTTAATCTTTTGGATCAGTAAGGAGGTCTAAAGCTTAGACTCCCTTACTTAAATAAAGTAGAAATAAAGTAGAAAAAAAGTTTTTAACGCATCACTTTCTAAGCGACTAATATTAGTTAATACCTACTTGGATAAATGAAAATTTAAAATCTAGCGATTCATGATCGCTAAGATAAAACATCGCAATAAGCATCGCGCGAGATAAAGTCGATCTGAAAAAGCAATGAGGCTGTTAAATTTTAATGATATAGATAGTACTCGTACAAGTTAGTAAATAGTTTTTCTTTTCTCTATAATATTTAAGACATTTCATTCAGCTATATTTAAGACAGTATTATGGATGGCTATTTTCAAACAATGCCCCACTTTCTTACGATGGCCACGCCTTTATGATGTCAAAATGAAATAAGTACAAGATACCATATTGGCTGAATAAAGGTACAATAAATAAGGTCATTTTTAAAACGCAAGCATTTTTTGGGTCATTGGCTCGTTCAAAGGCTTTAACTATGACATTTGATGTTGACAAGACTACAACAGGTTAAAAGCATTTACTATAGCAACCGTTGCCAATTGATTCCGAAACTCACCTTCCAATAGACATGAAAAAACAGTGCCTAAGGAGGAATAACTTTGTTATGTCTATGATTTTGACCAGATACCAAAAAACAGAAAGTATTTCTTCTTCTTTATAATTAAAGGGACATTTGATCCTGTTGCAGCAAGCTTCTAGGTTCAAATTAGTCATCATTCTAAAGTTTCGTCTATCAACGAAGTGAATAATTTTAAATACAACCACGAGCGCAATATTTTACAGAATAAATTAATTTTATATACAGTCCTACATCACGGAAACTTCAAGGCACTGTGCCTATAATAATATCTAAAAATACAATATGACTGATAAGTTTAATGCATAGTTTTACCTCTAATATTGTTTTAGCAATACCTAGGAACCTTGAAATGCAGTGGCCTTACAAACATACATTAATAAAAAGTCTCTATTACATCACATCCATAAATGCATCCTCAATTCGTTACCAGTGTGGGGTTCCACAGGGAGATACATTAGGACCACTGCAGTTAAAATTAGGCCCGCATTAAAACTTCATCAAACCAAGTTTGTCACTCGAAAAACGATTTAGACAAATAGTTTTATGGATTTTTAATCAGATCATAGTTGATCATCATCTTTTATTGGTATATACGAGGCGTGTAATAAATAACGTTTAATAAGCTATCATTATAAACTTAGGATTTTGTTTGATAGTGATTTATTTGCTGTTTGACGGTCTTTAAAAGTATTCAACTGGCCTGTTTTTATAAAAGGCTTATAAACAATAGTTGTAGTAGTAGTTAAACGGTGTACAAAATTTGTGGAGATACATATATTTTAGCGTTTTCACTAGATATTTTTAATCCAAGATGCCTGAGGCGTAAGTTGTTCTTCAAGATAGTTTGTATTCTAGGAAAAGAATCAAATCGAGTCCATGGTACCCTTGGGCATAGGGAAATTAACTCATCATAAGATTTTTTGCAAATTATGAATTTACATACCATGACTATAAAACGTAGCGGTGTTACAGTTATAAATAACACATTTGCGGTTTAATGATCCACCGCAAGATTTGCTTTCAGTTTTTTTATGTACTTGGTAAACGTACAACAATATATAGAACACTAGCTTCCGCCCGTGGCGTCCCTCGCATGGTATGTTGAAAAAAAAGTAGCCTATGGTCTATCCCGGAGCGTATCCTATGCCTGTGCCAAATTTCATCCAGATCCGTCTAGCCGTTTTGGCGTGATTGAGTAACAAACACCCAAACATCCAAACATCGTAACTCTCACATATATAATATTAGTAAGATATAATAATATAATAGAATATAATTTCATGTAGGTACCAATGCCTAAATAATTTTACCAAGCTTAGTAAACCGGAGAATTGTTAGTTTGGTCTGGTCTTTGACTGTCTGTGTATCTGGAATGGATGGTGTTAGGTGAATCTGTTCCACCAAACATACGAATTCAACTCCAAAAATGCGGGTATTGTATTTGGAAAAAGACAAAAGTAGACCATGTTGCCTTCCATTGTAAATTTAATAATGATATTTGGACTAACAATGAGAAATCAATAATGAAATTATTTTATATACAATACCTACAGAAAGAATTATCTCCTTTAAAAACATACTATTGTCGTTAAACTGAGACAAAGGCATGAGTTCATCACGGACGATCGCGATGTTTTATTGACATTAGACCTGATCTGGAACTGTCAAGATTATTTTCAAAAGTTCCTCTTTACTGCAAAAGTTTTTGGGTTGAAACCCTATAATTGGATGAGCTCCAGAAATCCCTTCATCGACACCAATCCATTTTCATCCACTAAGGCCCACAGAAGCCTTTGAGTTTGTACACCAAGCTAAGTTAAAAGCTGAAGCTAGGTTATCATCTATTCCCATTAAGTATTATTATGTTATTCCGATGGATATTTGTAAGATGGGGGTAACTCAGTTTAGTTTTTCAAAAATTATATATAAAATTTCAGGCTGCATATGGCGCGCTCAACGGTAGCTCTGTTCATCGTGGCGTTCCTAGCATTGTTCATTGCCTTCTGGACCGGCGTGGTCGGCTGCTGGAAGCGCAGCCCTGGCAACATCACCGCCACAGCTATACTAATGCTTGTCACATGTAAGTATTTCACTCTTGTACGCGTCACTGCGTCACTAGATTCTGTGAGAAATATCATAGATCTTCTCTCTGTACTATACTTCCTACTTTTTATATCTTTGACACCCATTGCTCATTAGTGTCAGAGATAAAGAATAAAAATAACGTTTAAAATTATACGCAAGATGCTAATGAGTCATGTTGACCAGAGTTGGGAATAAAAGTAAAAATATATTTAAGTTGGATATTGCTGTAATGTGAAACATAATGATTATAGTTTGATGTGAAAGCCTAGAAACACACACGAAAAGGAATACCGCCTTTCATTTTATTCTTTAGATATGTTTATCCTACATATGATACATCATATTGGTTTCATATTGAGATCTACATTATTTTGGTATGGTGTTTCAGGCTTACTAGCAGCGGGTGCGATGGCATTATGGCATGGAGTGGAGTTCTACGAGAAGGAGAAGGTTGTTGGAGAGGAGTACTACCAACAGTGGCCTAACGTAAGTTAACAGTCTTCTAGAAACAAGAATATTCTAGAATATAAGCGAAAAAATATGCTACGTCGTAGCTCGATTGGTCTGAGACAAAAGAACTAAGAAAATTCCATAAGTGCTGTTAATCCAATTAATGTTGCAGCAGTAATGGTATACAAGTATACGACATAAGGATACTTACCTATATTTACTTCAACAATCTAGAATTCTTAAGGTACAATCGCAGAAAAATAACCGTTTTAAAGTACATGACTAGTATAAGAAGGTTTGTACCAAATTATTGACCCAACCCCCAAATCAGGTGTTAAAAGACAACTCGTCAATCTGGTACGATTGGTCGTACATCCTGGCCTGGCTGTCTGTCGGCGTTTCCTTCGGAAGCTCCATTTTATTCTTCTCTGCCGCCATTTGCCTGAGCAAGGAAAAAAGGCGGGAACAGCAGAATAACGTGCAGTACATAATGCCAGGTTAGACCGCCATCTTGAGCGGCCATCTTGTGATACGCTTGGCGGGAATAACACTAAAAACTCTTTTGTATATTTCTACTGTTTCCTCTGATGATTTAGGTTTATATTGTATTGTAAGTGTTTAGTAATGTGTGTTGTAGTTACCTAGGTACCTTCTGTTCTGTAGTTTAAGTGCCTAGTCTGTATTACAAGTCTTGTAGCTGTAATAAATGTTAATTTGGTTATTTATACTGGTACCTACCTCACGTATTACTCTTCACTAAACAGTAAATCATTTAACTTAGTGTATAAGTACGATCATGTAAGTATCTCATACTAACAAAAAGCTTTTCTCTTTTTTTCATGTTTCTATGAAACTTGGCTACTGCGTATAACTTCGCGACTGCGACCGGTCGTTTAACGCATATTTAAATGTAACTTGCTATCTCATAATATCTGGTTTACGCCAAACGCAATACTAACTCGCTTACGGACGAATTTATTAACATTGGTGCTGTAAATACTGAAAAATCACTAAACTGTATCTGAACCAACTAAATTGACCACACGTAATTTGAATTGTACATAACCAACTTCCAAACACCTGACACAAACTTTGATAATTCGCGGGAAAATTTTGTTTGTTCAATCGTAATTTTTGTAAAACCTACCCACCCACACTAATGTGACACTCACCGTTGTCCACACTGACACGTTTACACACCTACCCTTACAAATACACACACGCGTGCTCGGGGGCGATATAAACCAGATATTACGTGACAACTCGCGCGTGTGGTACGACTGGTCGTACATGGTCGCGTGGTGCGGCGTGGGCCTGTCACTGCTGTCCGCCATCTTGTTCTCGTCGGCGGCCATTTGCTTGCGCGGCGAACGGGAGCGGGAGGAGGCGCTTAACATGCAGTACCTCATGCCCGGTATGCTTTGTAAACCCATCATTACTTAGGCCACATCTTATACTACTTATAAGTCTAAAGTTTAATAGATTAGATATGAGAATGTACCCTATAACCTATTCGAGAAACTTGCAGAAAAATTGAAGAAGAAATATTCATTAGGATTTAATTCGCATAAAGTAAAACTTTAGGTCTATCAGTCCAGTTCCAATTTTAAAAAGAAATTCCTTTTCTTTTATTACTTTTCCTGTGTCTATAATTGTTTTTTTTTTAAATAAGTAGGTACATTAAAATATGTAACTTAATAAGGATGTATTGATTATAAACGCATTAAAATTTGAACTCATCCATACCTACCGACATGTAACATTTTTCGCGTGTGGCAATACAAACCTACTAATAACTTATTAATTTCTTTTGTAAATATTTTCTCAATTTTAAACAGCAGGCTAAATGTCGAATGCATGACTGGTTTCTGGATTTTAATAACTATTAAAAATTCCCTTTATTTTTGGGATTCCATGTAAAAAGTTATTAAATTATTTGTGTCCTTTGCTATTTGATATTTATTATCTGTAGACTGAATTGAAATGTTGCTATTTTTAGATACCTACTTTCTCTTTATTATTGTTGACATGTTTCTCATCCGTATTAGTTAACTCCGCTTCGGCTACAATAAACATGTTTAGAACTAAAAGCTACCAGATTAAATGTCTAATATGTTTCCTCGTGTTTGGCAGTGTACCCCCAAAAGCAGCAGTACGCCTACGCGGGCTACCCGCCGCCCCAGGCGTACCCGGGCCCCTACTACCACGGGTCGCAGTACGGCCCCTACAACTACTGAGCATGTGACCAGATGAGGGACCTCGTGGCGGCACACTTCGCCAACGCCCCCGCCCCGCAGGCACCCGCGCGCAACCCCTCCCCGCCCCACCACCCGCCAGCCTCCCTGCCCTCCTCCCTCGAGACGTACAACTCGCACCGCAAGATCAAGCGACCCAAGCTGGGCGAGCGCAAGGTGTACCGGCCCGTGCGGCGCCACACGCTGTCGCGCATCGACGAGACGCCGCCCGCCACGCTGCGGCCGCGCTCCAAGAGCCTGCAGCACTCCACCGACTTCTCGTCGACGCGGCCCATCCTGCGCTCGCGCTCCAACATCTCGGCCGACACCAGTCGCAGCGTGCCCGTCTGCAACCAGAGCCAGGACGTCGAGAACCAGGTGGAGAGCGGCAGCCCGCAATACGCCGAGCCTAAAGGCTCCGACTCCTCGTCGTACGACCGGCCCGCCTCCATGATGGACCTGCCCATCATGGTGCCGCTGGACCCCGCCACGGGCGCGTACATCCCCTACCCGGAGTACACGTACTACCACGACGACGGCTGTCAGCTGGCTCGCTACCGGCAGTACAACAAGAAATCAAAGAAGTCCTCTAAACATAGCAATTTGTATTTAGCGTTCATGTATTGAACTCGCGCGGGTGTAGGCGTAACACGATACATATTGGAAGCAATGGTAACGAGTTTCGAATATTGCCGTACAGTGTATGACGCCACAGCCCATGAATTTCATTGTGAAAAGTTTACGTCCTTGTCTCCTAAACATTCATACACTGTTTTTTTTTTTATTTATAAATGGGTGGCCCGAATCTGGTTGAGAGAATATCCTTCAGACTATTGGCACTTTATTTACTGCGCCGTGACGCGAGGCCTCGATCGAGCAGTACTGGTTAGTTAGTGAGACGACATCGACCTCGCGCCGCGGCACTGCGCACGGCTGTACGAAACTCTGACGCCACAGAACCTTAACGTTTCACGCGACAACTTACGAACAATCTCTGCTACGAATTTTAGTTAATGATAGAATTGTAACAACGTATCGGGAGAGACGCTGTAATTAGGAGTAAGTTAGTAATGACTCCGCCATAATATACAGAAATGAAACAAATTCTTGTAGTACCTAAGTTAAAATCTAAGAATGTTAAGATTTTGGATTCATAAATAAATAATTAAATATAGTTTTTATAAAATTCGACTTATTTACTCTGAACAAATGAATATATCCAAACGTATTGTGCCTTTATCGTATAAATATTGCTCATTCGTACTGTTTAAACATATCTTAATCTAATGTAGCGTAGTGTAGTGCTAGATGAAGGTATTTTTGTACACAACTCGTATAATGCAAGGCCTAGCTCTGGATAGTCACAAGAAATATGGTATATTTTGTCTTTGATATATCTCAATTTCTGTGTGTAGACTGTAGATCAATTTATTAGTTATTTTTGTATGTTTTTGATTGTCAAATCGATGAAAACCGTCCTTTTTGTATGGATATACGCTAGCATAATGGTTTTTCTATGGATTATTTGTATTTAATTTCCTTAGTCGAAATCGTGAAGGTATGATTCATACCGTCTAGTTAGCTCAGAAATATTTGTACATTAATCAGTTTAGGATATTCATTACAATAAATGGTAGATTATATTTAATTGTATTTAAAACTTCCTTAATAAATAATTTGAAAAAATAAGTTGTTTTCTTTCCTGGTCCAGTGAACAACGACAACAAATTATAATAGTATATACCTAGTCTAGCCATAAGTACTGTTTGCGTTTGCGAGTTTAACGAAGTCATTGATGGGTCCGTTCCGCTCGCGGTGGATACCGTGCTTTATAGGCTGCAAGTCCTAAGTCGTCTTTTAAAATACGCGACATGGTTCTAGGTGCTATCTTCATTTCCCGAGATAAAATCTTTTGCTTTCGGACAGGATTTCTTCGAATTCTTTCCCTTACTGCTTTGACCACATTTTTCGTACGAACACTACGTGGACGGCCAAATCTTTTTCTGTCACAAACAGAGGAGGTCTCATTGTACCTATTTATTAATAGCCCGGTACACAAACATTTGACTAATGCCAAGCGTGTGGAGAGTTTTAAAATATGCATTTGGCTCCATACCCACTTTGTGTAATGCAATCACAGCGATTCGGTTCTCTCTATCTCCCCACTCCATTTTAATATCGCAAAATATTGAACAATTTATTGGCGCCAAAATAAGAAAACACAATGAAAAATTATATAAAAATGACAGATTCCAAATTCAAGTGTAATATTTTGTTTATTTGTAATTGTAACAGTATTTATGGCCAGACTATTTATACTTGAGGAAAAAACAAACTGGCTTACACTACTATTATTATACCATGTTGTACTGCGTACTTGCTTATAATATAGAGTGTGCTATGATTTACCTATCTGCATATTCTGCGTACAAAAACAGTTTAATATAATATTAATAGGCTAAAAGAAACAAAAAGAAAGGAACTATACTCAACTGCAAATTAATTACATACTTACTTACTTAGATAATATCGTATATTCGTCTCTGTTGTTTCGAGCCAAGATAATTATTGTCTTTGGAAATCATCTAAGCCTTTTGAAAAAAAAACAGGTTATTGAGAGAAAAATGTCATCAATTTTAAATGATTCAATGACCGTGCTCGGACACGAGGCTATCTAAGCTGGTTCGGCGTTCGCTGAATTTTAGTATAATATGTCTACCGGCCTTCTAAAATCTTACTAAGAAAATAATTACATCAACACTGGTTAGTTTCGATTTACTGTGTTTAACTGTAAGTAAAAGCCTGGAAAGTTGCTTGCCCGAATATTTGACTTTTTGACCCTTCCTATTATTCACCAGAGGTAATGATATGCCAGTCGCTCTGTAGAACAGTACGCTTAAAGTTGTATACTTTCCTTCTTTTACTTTTTTAGTTGGCCCTCTTTATGAGGAGGGAAAATAATCCAATGACTTCTCTTGCCTAGAGTACGGCGAGAGGGAGTCAGCTTAAGGCTAAAAGCTGACCGCAACCCCGTCAAAACTCAGAATCGTAGGTAAACTTACTACCTTGGCCTTGGGGGCCAACAATTTTTTTGTGCTATTGAATGAAACTTTAAGAATTAAAAGAATAAACTGTTTTTAAGTTTTCAAAATTTTCATCGATCGATGAATCATCAAAAATTTCATCAATTTTAAATCAAATAAATTTTAATTCATTAACTCCTTGAACTCTCATTTAATTTTGCAGTTGCAATATAAAGGGATATTAAAATTAAACAAATAATTCATACAAATGTATATATTCAAAAAAACTGTACAAAAAATATTTATAATATGGCGATTGGACGTTACACTGGATGGAATGTTCTTGAAGTTTTATCACATTTCATGAGGCACTCAATTATATATTTATTAAGTACATTAATTTCATTTAATTTTAATAGAAAAAAAGTGATTTATATCGTAAATATTAGGTATTAAAATTACATATACAATGCGATAATAGGTAATTGCAAAACTTAAAAAATCTATTTTTATAACCCTTCGACCGCTACGGTCTGCTGTAGGCGACAAACCAAATATACTTGCGAAATAGTTTCTTTTTCGTTTGTCGTTCGTATAGTATGACCATGGCGATCATAGGGTTAACTTTAAATTACCCATTTTATACAATAATAATAGAACGAGAAAGATATACATAACATTATATAAATCAAGAGCACACTAGAATGCTTAACCTAAAACACTTATCCACGAAATATTACGTACTTCGTACTAGTGCAAATTACTTTAAGAAAATCTTAGGAAAGTCCTGCTTCTCGTTTAAAAAGGTTTAGAATATGATTTGACCATATCTATAGATTTATGCTGATAATTATAAGTGCACTCTGGGTGCCAGCGTTTGTGGTTTACAGATTTAATTTTATATTATCCAATTATTTTTAGAATACGTAGGTATATATCAATATGGGTCCTACATAACTGATACGAAAAACGTGTAAACTTCTCATTGTTTTTTAAATGTCTTACATTAATTAATATTTAATGAAAAAATTGAGCACTTACGACGTTTGTTTTGAGTTTTTCGAAATTAGTGATGAGGTAAAACAAGAGAAGACGCCATTGACTTGAATACGCTTCTGAATTTGGTAGTAAAACAGTTGGCCTAGTTTTTAATTACTCTATAAAACAAAACACTTATATTAATCCAAAACTTGCTCAATTTAATCCAAATGGCAAGTCAACTTTTAAAAATTCAATCACTGTTTTGACAGACAGGACTTAAACCGCCAGTGGCGCCATCTGGCATTGCCAAAAAACGACAAGCAAACCTATTGAAACAACGTAAAATTGCATGATTAATTAATTACTTAACTGTTTATAAAGCAGTGTCCATAATAGGTCCCGGGTGTGATAGGGCCTGTTTCCTTTCTTGGATTGCAGTTACCAGTTTTCTGTAGGGTCCTAGAGGGAGGCCTAAGGATTTAAGGTCACTTTCGGTAAGTATCATGAGGGCGTCAAGGTCAATTTGTTCGTCTTTGAACTTTTGGACGTATTGGGAAAGGCCAAACGCTGATAGGAACCGCTCAAGAGATGCGTAACCTGACTCTTCGGCTTCAGCTTCTTCATCTGATGTGATGGTTGAGCTCTCTGCGAAAAAGGTTTATTATGAAGTGGATAAAGAGTATAAATTTTACTATCACTATTTTGTGTTAATTTCTGACATCTTTTTAAATTAGGAAAGTTCATATCTCATTTTTGGCATGTTGGTAAATAGAACAAATTGCTCTTATGAAAGTCCCAAATAGGTAAAAGATATTTTTAATACAGTTGCTCAAAAAGTGGCGTATTGCAGGGAAGTGTAGCGTTCGTGCTTTTTTTTGCTCGGGTAGACATTTGTCGGCACTATTTGCAATGACAGCCATTCCGTACTAGTAATGACATATTATATTTGATTTACTGACAAATAATGGCTCCCGAAAATTGGTTTGGTCATCTCCCGAACAACTCCTGATCGATTTCGAACATGGTAGCCGGTTTGTCTAACAAGACTAGCCTGTTACGCAGGAGATGATATTATAAGTGTGCGAAAATTATGTTTTCTGATCTTTCTGACTGAGTAACATATTTAATGTTCTCAATATTAAAAGTCTCAATATTAAAAGTCCTCAGTTGAGATGTGACAGAGACATTTATAAGATATACTTTCTATTTGAAAAGGCGCAAATCTATTAAGATATTACCTGACTGTGCCGATGTCCATTCAGTTGGTTGGTATGCATGTCTGGCAGCCAGGGACCCGGCAGACCCTATAGATAGGTCCTCGCCAGGCGCTCCACTGCCAAACGCACTCAGCGTGGCCGTTATTGAACGTCTGTAATTGTAATACATAGCTTTAGTTGTTAAAGATGTTTTGAATCCATGATGGATTAATATGGCCTTATAAAAGTCACAGACAAAATCTTAATCAAAGATCGAGAATTCTTTTTTTTTTTGTATTTTGTTAATGCTGATATATTAGGCAAGGAAAACAGAAATGTGACGTCATCATATTTTAGCGTCAAACTGCATACTTATTTGAATGTTACCAATAAAAATCAATTGTTAAATATATCATGAAATCCATCAGCTCATGCAAGCTTAAGCCACGCTAAACACCCTGTTAGCACGCTTGTGTTTGTGGACGTTTGCCAAGTCTCGGCAAGCGTGTAAACGTACCATTGTATTTCTAATATTAAACCTTGAACACAAAGGATAGGCCACACAATATTGAACTTTATGCCATTACCTGAATGCAACGCTGCCGAACCCTGGTCGCTCGAATATACTGGCTGGCTCCTGCAACATCACCTCTTGTCCAATACCGCTGTCTTCGTTCACTAACGCGAAGTCTGGCTGACTGGCAGACCTAGAATTGATATAAATTAATAATCAGAAGATCTGATGAGAAGACTTACAGTAGTTCTCAAACCGTGTTGTAATCTATACTAATATTATAAAGAGGTAAAATTTGTAAGTTTGTAAGTTTATATGTAGGGGGTAATCTTTGGAACCGTTGGTCGGATTGCCAAAATTCTTTCACTGATAGATAGCTCACGCTACGATCTAGAGAGCAGCCGAGTAGACAAGCAGCGGGTGAATTTGTAAAAAAAAAAGTTTTTGAGGTCGATTTAAAATATTTACCTGGTGAGAGATTTCTTAGGTACAGTCGTTTCGGGTGGTTGTTCAGCGAATACGTCCGAGATGTTGCCCCTCTGCTGCGGCCCCGCGCCGAAAGTACCCACGTACATAACTTCCGAGTCACGACGAACACCGCTCAGTGACGTCACTGATCTACGACCTGTCGTCTCAATCTCTCCGACCTGCGGAAATAAATAATATTGACTTGTTTAATAACCGTCTAAGTGTGGGAGAGATATGCTTCGGCACGAATGGGTCGGCTCGACCGGATTGATACCACGGCCTCACAGAAAACCGTCGTGAAACTACCACAGCGTTGTGTTTTGCCGTGTGAGTGAGGTTGCTGGAGGCCCAATCCTTCCCCAATCCCTAATACCCAAAAGGTCAGCAACGCACTCGTAACTCCTCTGTTTCGGGTATCCATGGGCGGAGCTGATTGCTTACCATCAGGTAATCCGCCAGTAAAAAACTGTGGGGTGGTTGTAAAATCATCAAATGACTTCTCCCCCCTTGGAAGGGGCGAGAGCGTCATACTATTACTGACTAAAAACCACCCAGTTCCTTCTCCTGCTCTGAATCAAGGCATTCATGCGAATAACCATCTGGGAGATACGTCGCAACAAACAAATATTATAAAGAAAATACAGTCGAATTAAGATAATCTACCATTTTTTTAAAGTTGGTAAATGATAAAGATTTAATAACCTCACTTCGACAAGTCCTTAGATTTTATTTTTCATAGGTGGCGCTGGTGTAGCTTAGGGTCATGTTAGTTCAATTACTGGAGACCTTTGATCCACCATAATAATCCAAATCAAAGATTGGAATTATCAAAAGTTCACTTGGTAATAGTCTTGACATAAAAATATGTTGCCCGCTAAGCTGCCGCCCGCGTGGTATGTTGTTAAATTTTATGTGTTAATTCTAATTATCAAAATTTTGAACCAAATCGATCCGAGCCGTTTTTGTGTAAAAGAAAACATACATTTATTTAGTTGGATCGTAGGATACGTTATTACAATGGATTAAAGGAAATAACTAAAATGAAGCACAGATAAAACACGGATTCTTGTTTACCTCTATATATAACTTTTGAATTAAAAAAGTTATTAAAAACAATTAAATTTTAAATACACTTCCAACTTGCAGAGAAATTTTGTTGAAGTAATAAAAACTGTTTTAATATTTATAATTATAAATCTAGTTTCCTATTTATTTTACACTGAATACATAAATAATATTGTTACCGAATTTGTTCAGAATTTTCTTCACGTTTCGAGAGGTGTAGTGTCTGATACTGAGACGAATCTTGAATGAAATGTATTTGATCTCAGTTTAACGTACCGTTAACATAACGGTTGTTTATAACAGTATTGTTATAACTTATTGTCGCTGTCATAAATTAGAGGCTATGCGAATGTTTGATCGTGATTTGTTTTTTCTGTGATAACACAGGCAAACTAATACACGGATTACCTGATGGTAAGCAACTACTAACTTTTAAACTTTAAATACTTATACTTAAATAATTACTTTCCGCGTTAATATCTGCGTAATTGAATTAACGCGGAAAATAATTATTTAAATACCTTGGTAGGCTTGACGTTTCGACCTGATTGCACAGACTAGATAGACTAGACTAGAGTCCATGGACACATAGCATGGCAAAAACGGAGGAATTACGAGTGCGTTGCCGGCCTTTTGGGGATTAGGGTTTTGGAGATTTAGGGCTTCTGGAGGGATTGGGGGAGGGGAAGGTTTGGGCTGCCGGTAATCTCACACACGTGGAGAAACAACGCTGTGGTTGTACCGGCTTTTTGTGAGGCTGTGGTATCACTCCGGTCCAGATGACACATTCTACCGAACCGTCTCGCACATAAGACTAGCAATATTACATATTTGAAAAAAAAACCGAGCAACTCAACGGCTCATTTTTAAAAAAAAAACCTTGATTAACCTTTCGATAACTAAACGTGTCGTAGGTTCGTTTACAAATATACAAGTTCACATAGACATCGCACCAGGACTCGGAATAATTAAACAACATAAATTATCTTTTTCCTTCTGGCTTCAAAGTAAGAGAAGGAGACCTTGCCTCTCCAGAAGCCTTTGACGAAAATACTCAGGTTATTTTCCAATATTTAAAAGATTTCTTAAGACATTATTTGGGTAAGATTATATGAAGACACGCACATACAAGTTCTCTTTTTACATTTTTTTAACGTTGTTCCAAACTAGGATTTTCTCCAGCGTCGTGGGGATAAACATAGAAATTCACACGCTCAAGCCACCAGAATCCACAATTTGTGGATCCAACCCGTGGCAACGGCAAAGCAGCCAGTAGCCCATCCACTGCTCCAACTATGAACGAGTGCATGATGGATGATTGAAATATCATGGCCCCATAAGTGCCTTTTACTAAAAATAAAATTACTTACAAAAAAATATGTTGTATAATTTACCTTAAAATCATTGGTATTGAGATTATTATTTTTCCCAATAGTGTTGTTCCTCAGTTTGCTAGCGAGTGCCTTCTTGTATACGGCGCCACGCCCCCTTGCGCCGGAGTTGACGGTGCCTACCAGCACGCTGTACGTGGGCCGAGGTTGATCGTCAGCTAAGAGATTGCCTGTAAACATTGGTAGTATTAACGTTAAGGTAATACAAGCAAATTTTTAACCTATAGGTGCCCATTGCAGAGCAAAGGCCTCATCTGACGCGGACAAGAGATTATAGCTGGGTAAAAGTCACATTGGTACTTGCCCAGTTTGACCTTTCGTTCGGACCCTTTTTTAGGCCTTTTAAGGGTTTTGAGGATTGAGAATGGGAAAGAAACCCTCACGAGCGAAACAACGTAGTGGATACGGACAAGATTTAAGGCTTCTTCTTTGAAATCGTAACGTTTCAATAGTTAGCTATGTTATTAAAACTGCGAGGCAAAATGTGAATATGCGTAAGGTTTGTTAAATATACTTTATAACACAAATTCAGCAAATCTACGCTGATGCCAATAAAATGTTTGGTAAGTTTACTTAAAACGTATTTCATGCATAGGTACATATTTTCCAGCCGGGGTTGCGGGGTAAGCGCAATGAGGCACCGCGACCTCGGCTCAGAGGAGGAGAAGGAACAGGGGGGGTTTTTAGTCAGTAAGAGTCTGACACTCCCTCCCGCCCGACCCTGGGCGGGAGAAGTCATTTGATGATTTTCCCCTCACAAAAAGAATGCATTCATATTTTAACTTATTCATTTTTAAAACAAATGTAAGTTTTGTATTACAAAACACGCCATTATAAAAGTATGTGTGACGTAGCGATTAGGACAATATTAATGATATCGATAAGTACATTTTATCGCTGATATTATTACAACGGGAAATGAAACGACGTGTAATGACACTTTATCATGGATTTTCATGTAATGATACGAGAGAATGTACAAAAAATGCTATACCTACTTAATTACTTTTAGTTTATTATTTCCTGAATGACATATATGCCTTCAAATATGTGGTAGGCAACCTCTTTACTTTAGGTAGCTAGGTCCTTTGTCCTTTTGCTTGTTATTTTTTTTCACTGGGCAACACATTATTACATTTTTAAGTCCCAATAATCTTACAAAATTTTAGTACTGTAATCCAGCTTCAGAAGTAAAGAGCAAGACTAAATGAGTCAAAAGAATATATTTTTGTTATTAAAACGTGGACCTTAAGAATATTTTCCTGTGTCATTGGTCCCATTATGGCGCTAAGTATTATCAGTAAACCCTGAAGAGCAACTTGAGGGTCACACAAGAATTCTTACGAACAAGAATGAAACTAGGGATATTCGTATGCTAAATAGAAAAGAGTCTTAGCTCAAAAAAGTGTGTTCGAATCTTAAATATTATGTTACAACAATAAGGTTCAATTTAGAAATACCCTCTTTTATGAGTTAGTTCTGTTTTCTATTAAACTTATCGATGCGCTTATCGAGCAGACTAAACTTACCATGGCTAGTAGACCTGGTCATCTTTTGTTTCAGGGCCCACAATACATTGCTGGGCCTGTGAGGCATCGTGTGGACCTCCTCAGCGTAACCCTGGTCCCACTCCTTAGCCAGCTTTTTAAGCTCCTTCTCAGCCATCAGCTCCGCCTTACTCTGCCGTTTCTGATACTGCTTGTGGGACTTCTCATAGTCTTTTTTGGCTTTCTCTTTCAATGATTTCGCTTTTTTCCTGAAATAGTTGATGTTTATTTTTGTAAATATAATACAGAATAGAATATTTCTTCTACGGAAATATAAGTATTAAAATAGTAAGCTAGATTTGCGGGCTAGACCACGTTGAAACCATTTCCTCGCAGAAAACCGGCGTGAAATGAACAAAGCGTTGTGTTTCACCGTCAGAATAAGGTTGCCGGAGGCCCAACATATCTCCCCCAATCTGCAAATCTCCAAAACCCTAATCCTCAAAACTTCAGCATCGCACTCTTAACTAATCCCTCGCAGCGAGTGTCCATCCGTCCGTCTAAAATGGACTTTACTATAAGCAGTCCCGTCCAATAAATAAGAAACTGAGAAACATGAACACTTTGACTATCAAACAGACTAATTAAGTACCTACTTGAAATTATATCATGGAACAGCAATTATGAGTGACAAAATAAATCAATCATAACACATTACCCAACAACGAATTAACGTTACATAAACCCTTTACGTGTTTCAATGAATATTTTTTGCTTAATTACACCCATTCCAGATCGTATGGGATAATGATGGGAAATTGGGAACTATATTATACGACTTGTGTAATATAAATTGTAACATGCGCGTCAAACTATGGATGAATAGGTTTTTAACAGTTAATTTAAACATTAAGGAAATTAAAATTAAGTACCTACATATAATGTTTTTTGAAAGTTTTCTTTTATTTTATGTAATTCTGTATAAATAATAATACTTTAGTGTGTCTAAGTTACCATTAAGTATGTGATTTATAAATCTATGAAAACATTTTTTTCTTTTGCTATTTGATATGGTTTAGACCTCAGTTAGTAAAGTGGTTGATAGATTTACTTTTTAATACAGCATTTCTTAGGTATATTATATTAGGTCTTAGGATGATTATTTGAGTTAGTCGATACAGGTAAAAAAGTATAGAGATTTATCTCTTAAAAAATGTGCCCCACTCCAGTATTTCCTCGTGTGGCGTGTGTTATTGTATGTATTATGTTTGTTCATACAATGTAACACACTTTACACCCAGATCCGGAACAACAATTTGTGGATCACACATAGTGTGTGAAGCGAGAAGAGAAAAGCAGGGTAAAATACAGTGTTTTGTTTTTTTAGAGTAAAATATTTGGTACTCAAGAGGATTTTTAACCTTGGGGCAAAAAAAAAAATTCCTATTTCATATAGGTATTAGAATTTAAAATTTACCACATCAGTGAAAAAGGCTTAAAAATGTAGCAAATCCATAATCCCTAAAAGGTCGGCAATGCTTGTTCTCATAACTTCTTCGTTGTTTCGAGTGTCCATGGGCGGCGCTGATTGCTTACCATCAGGTAATCCGTCTGCTCGTTTGACGACCTATCATATAACAAGGGAACTTACTTATCATTGTTCTCCAACTTTGCTGTCGCCTGGTCTAAATACCGCAGTATATCAGTCCGTTCGTTGATGGCTGCCAACTCCTGTGCGGTGTGGCCATCCACGTCCATCGCGAACACGTTGGCTCCGAAGTTTATGAGGAAGGTGACGCATTCTTTGTGACCCCGCGCAGCCGCGAGGTGGAGGGCCGTGTTGCCGAAGTAATCGGCTTTATCGGGCTCTCCTCTGGAACAATAAATGAATACTTTTAAGGAGGGTTCGAAAAGTTCAAACCAAAAAATGTTCCTTTTAATGAAAAGGAAAAGTGAGAGAGCCATGCTTCGGCACGAATGGATCTGCTCGACCGGAGTGGTACTACGGCCTCACAGAAAACCGGCCTGAAACAACCACAGCGTTGTTTCGCCGTGTCAGTGAGGTTACCGGAGGTGCCATAGTTTTCCTCCCCCACTCGTTAAATCTCCAAAACCCTAATACCCTAAAAGGCGACAACATACTCGTAGGTCCTCCGTTGTTGCGAGGGTCCATGGGTGGTGCTTATTGCTTACCATTAGAAAGTCCATCGACTCGTTTGTCGTCCAGTCACATTAAAAAAATTATATTTCACGAAATGTTGTGATTAAACCTGTTTAGATAATATAAAAGGAATGTTCAACATATATTATAGACGGTAATTGAACAAGGTACTTGTAGATACATTGTACAATATTTTTGTAAGCACATTGAAATGAGGATGGGTTCATCAAATTATCATTTTCAACATATTATTGACTAGGATCCATACCTGACCTCGTACGTGTAGTACGTAGATAAAAAGTAGCCTGTGTTAATCCAGGGTATCACACAACATACTAACATTTAACCAAATCGGTTCAGCCGTTTTTGCAATAATAACAAACATACATCGATACATTCTCATAACTTTTACATTTATAATATTGGTAGGATGTTGAAAATTATGTATGAATTATATTTAACAATTTCAAAAGGGGTCACGGTCTTAATAACCGTTGGATTTTGGAAATGAATTTCAACATCACCACAAAGCGACGGACACTGGTAAAAAGAGAAAATGTATCACTGTCAAATTGTTGAGAGTTCCAAATGAACCATAATTGCAGCACAAAATTATTTAGATGAAGTGAAAGTACCACGTGCTCCGTGGTTGAATGATTATGTATATTGTGTAAGTACGTATGTACCTATACAATTATACATACATATATAAATTTTATGCGCAGACAAAAAAAACATTTAGTAAAATATGAAAGTGATTTTTTTACTGCCATGTAACATGTTTACATGCATTCGTCAGATGCCACTTTTTTATGTTGTAGGTCGGCAAACGAGCATACGTTTTTCCTGATGGTAAGCAAACAGCGCCGGCCATGGACACCCACAACATCAAAGGAGTTGCTATCGAGAGCGTAGTTGGCCTTCTAGGGATAAAGGTTTAGGATATTTAAGGATTGGGAAGGGATGGGGTGGGGAGGGATTTGGCCAACGGTAACCTCACTCGCACAGCGAAACACAAAGCTGTTGTTTCGCGCCGGTTTTCTGTGAGGCCGTGGTATCACTCCGGTCGAGCCGACCCATTCGCGCCGAAGCTTGGCTCTCCCACAATTGAAATAATGTAATGGTTTTTTTTGTTGTAAATAAGGATAGTCCAGTAAAATTATTTTACTTTACGCTGTTTAATATGAAATAGAAAAACTTATCACAATCTTATTTCATCCCATTTTATGGTGCGCAGCCCAATAAAAAACGGATACACTCACAGACAAGGTAAACCATGCATATTCCTTGGAATTCGCGCTCGATTCGATAAGGACAAAACCAGATACAGTTATTTTGCTGTCACTGCCCTCTGTACGCGATACATTAAACTATTCAAGTGGACATTCTGACACGTATTGTGGGACAACACGGTTGAGCGTTTTGCGTTTTAAAATATGACCTAAAATGTTTGCTTAACCTGCGCGTTGATATGAGGGTAAGTTGAGAATTTACTAGCATTTTTGCACGGATTTTCTTAAAGTGAAGACATTTGATGATTTCTCCCCTTGTAAAAAACCTAGCTAGGGAGCGCTCTACACTACCTACGTTTGCCTAATCGCGGTCTCGCCTCCAGAACACATCGAACCCAACGTCATCGGTTTTTTTTTACTTGCTATAAACTAGTCCTTGGCTGCGATCCCACCTGATGGTAAGCAGTGACGCAATCGTTGATGGTAAGGTGCACTAGTTTAGTAAAAGCCTATTCGCTTTAGCCTTGAAGACACCTAAATTATATTCGGAAGGAAAGACTGCATGCATGGGTTCTTTTAAAATGTGACCTGCCCATTGCCACTTGAGTAACTAGTTAACATGGTTGTCGCTAATTGTCAAGGCAGACATCGAAAGAGCCCAATGTATAACATTCTACCATGTTAAAGTGTGGGACAGCCAAGCTTTGGCACAAATGGGTCAGCTCGACCGGAGAGACACCACAGCCTCATAAAAAAAACTGGGTGAAATAACCACAGTGTTATGTTTCGCTTTGTGAGTGAGGTTACCAGAGGCACAATCCCTTCCCCTCCCTCCGACCGTTCTCAATTCTTAAATATCCGAAGTCCTTATCCCCAAAAGGTTGGCAACGCACTCATAACTCTTGTTGGTGCTTGGTGGCTTACCATCAGGTAATCAAAAACAATCTCTATGCTTGTAACTAAGCTACAACCGAGACAGTCAGGTAGTACATAATAATCGCTATGAAGCAACGATTGAGGTCAAACCTCACCTTAATATGTAATTTTAAGGCTAATGAAGCAATTCTCTTTAAATTTTTTATGTAATATAAACTGTAACATTGTATAACAACGGGGAACAATGCGTGAAAGCGACAATGAGTGATACTACATTGTTCTCAGGGCAAGCTTCTGATTACGAACTAATAAAACTGTTACAAGGAAAGGCAATTGTTTTAAAAGTAAGAGTTTTGAACAGCTATAACAGACTTATTGACAGTAAGCTGGAATTTTGCTTATAAATGTATGTTGTAGCATTTTGAGTTCAATACAATTGTTATAAAGGCCATTTAAAGTTATCAATCAACTGTCTGTTATTTGTAGATGTGTCAAAAAAGAATTAAAAGAAAAACAATACTCCTGTTAAAAAAAAAACGTAAACTGCGATTTCCAGCCTGTTTAGCGAGTATGGACCTATTGGAACATCTGTAATTATTATCACTATTGGAATTGGAACATTGACTATGTAACTCTGGTGCAGTGAGGTGATGTGACCCAAGATTTCATTAACATTGCAGGAGCATATGGAAAACTGACTTTCAGCCCATTCCACTGCGGCCTCAGATAGTCTATTTAATATTATAATAAGCAGAGGAATATAAGGCATATTCCAGTCGACTTATGATGACGGAAGCTACCAATATTATCTAACTTGGTCTCAAAGCCCCCCCTTAGCAGACAGACACATACCACGTAACTATTATCAAGCATTAATAAAACACTTATCACTATGACTAAACATTTATGCAATTAAAGTTGCAAATCTTATGCAATAAAAATAAGAATTAAGACTACAATAAAATAATATCAATACTTTAAATAAGCCGGTCCATTGGTTACAGTTGTAAATTATATTTTTATCAAGCCTACACGAAAGAAAACACGTTTCATTAGATTATTGTCGTCGACGATGAATCTAGAAAGAAAAATACAATATATTAATATGTATTTTTTTTATATAAAGGCTTGGTTTTTGGCATATTTTTGTGTATGAAAGTACAAATATTGACAAGGTTTAAAAACAGTTATCTATTTGGATCGATTTTTTATGTGATAGCATGGCAAACGAACAGGTTTATATGGACACCCAAGGCAACACCAAAGGAGTTACGAGTGCGTTGCCGGCCTTTTAGGGATATTTAAGGATTGGGAAGGTATAGGGGGAGGGGGAGGGATTGGGCCTCCGGCAACACCACTCGCACGGCGAAACAGAACAGTGTGGTTGTTTCACGCCGGTTTTCTGTGAGGCTGTGGTATCACTCCGGTCGAGTCGGCCCATTCATGCCGAAGCTTGACACTCCTACAATTAATGTGCTGAACCATTTTAGGGCTTAATGGGTATCATTATCATTAACAGGCTATAAGTACCTATTGCTGAGCAAACACTTCTTATACGGAGAAGGGTTGAGCATTAATAATCACCACGCTTGCACTGATTGGTTAGAAATTATAAGTAAACGTCTCCTCGTTTTGTTCTCCTTCACCAGCATCTACATTATGTCAGAAAAAGTCACATTGGTACCACAGATTATAAAACAAAGGCAGATGGACCGCACGGAACAAACGCTTTGGTAGACATGTGTGCATGGCAGCTCTATAAAAACACGTTTTCTCGGTGTGCGTTACGGTTGCCAGATAATAATAAAATTACCCACAATATTTCATTGTCTACCTATTGATATAAATAAATATCAATGCCCGATATGTATTAGATAGATATTTAGCTAAATCTCTTTGTTGCGTTTGTAATTGGCCAGACAATTGTACGACAGAATTGTTTCCATGTCCATCAAACTATGATAAACGTCAAACTATGACATACTACCTATAACATTATTTAATTATGACTTATGTTCTCTCGTCAAAAAATATTGGTCAAAAAGTACAAACAAACCAAAAAGTGAGATAAACAAAACATTATTATCGAAATAATAATATTTTTGTAAATCGATAATCCTGTTTACCATACCTATTGCCCAACTTAAGGGTGAATGATTTCAAAGTAAACTGGCAACACCGATCGGTGTTTGTTAAGGTTTTGTGTTCCAAGAATTTAGTAAAAATACCTAAAATATTATCCGAATAGACCAATAATCAATATTTATCAATGAAAAGATACTCCTTCCTCTTTATTTTTATTTTTGCGAATTATTTTTTTTAGTAATAAGGAACACAAGACGGCTTTATTCTCAAAAATATATAAATATTTGTTATCTATGACGTACTAACGATGTGACGCTTTGACGTACTGACTCGAATTTGTATTCGCTTTTGAATTTGTATTTGCTTTGGTGGCTACACTTTTGTGCACGGTCTATCTGCCTTTATTCTGTAATCTGTGATTGGTACATGCATGGTTTTCCTCATGCATGAGAAACGGGCGCAACGACCACGAAATTCGTGATATGAATGACATTTGTAATTATATGAATTTTTTTCAATAAATGCTACAGTGAGCAAATTAGTTTCGTATACACGTGCGAAATTAGTAATACACCAGGTCCTTTGGTTGGCTACGGCGCCCTTTTGTTTGGTAACCAAACTATATCTAAATCCAAACTAATATTATAAATGCGAAAGCAAAAGTAACTCTGTCTGTCTGTAACTGTATGTCTGTATGACTTTTCTTCGCGCGTCATCTACTGTTGAACCGATTTCTGCGAAATTTGGTACAGGCATGGTTTGGAAAATTGGAACTCGAAAAAGGACATAAAATAGATTTTATACCAAAAATCTGCAGGAAGTCACTATTCCACGCGAACAGAGTCGCGGGCAATAGCTAGTAGCTTCTTTCTCTGTCTGCTGAGTCAATTATTATTATCTTTCATGCAAACCATATTATAGTGCAGAATGTACTTGCCTAAACTAAGTAGAGGCATATACAGGAGTTACATGCAAATAGTTCTTTGGTTTTTGTTGAATAAGTGTTTTATTGTGCTTACACAAGTATAATACATGTCACGATGACGTCACGTGACGACATCACTCACGACGATGTCACATAACACATCATCAGCCTCTAAGTGCCCACAGCTGAGCAAAGGCCTCTTCTCACACGAATAAGGTTTGAGTATTAATCACCGCGCTTGCTCGAGGAGGATTGGCGAATATAAGCTTATAGTAAGAAGTTATAAGTCCCGGTTTCCTCACGTTATTTCGTGTCGGAAGTACATATAACTCGGAAAAAGTTACATCCGTACTTGTCAGGTTTCGAACCACACCCTCATGCATCATTTATATTCAGTTCGCTAAATACCCACAACCAAAAAAATTGGTTTTGCTTACCCTCTTCCACACAAAAGTCGGAGTGCCTCGATGTGTCCCTCGAAGGCTGCCCAGAGCGTGGGAGTCATGCCGGACTCATCCTTATTGTTGCACTCCTTACGCGTCGCCTCTCGCAGCACTTCCAGAAGACCATCTTTGGCCGCTCTGCAAAAATAGAAAGTTAAAATTTTAAAACGTTTTGCCCAATATAATTAGTTTTGTATGTATTTGGATATTTAATACAAAACATGGGGCAACGGCAGTTTTATTAGAGTTAGTTTTAAATAAAAAAATTATTATTAAAAAAACAAAATACCCGACTGCACACTAAAAAAAGAGTAAAACAAGCCCCACAATACAAATTTACTGAATATAATTTATAAATGTTGATGGAAAGCATCGCAGGCGGGGACCAACAGAGGCTTATTTATAGTCATTTCTGTTGTGCACCATTTAGCAGAATTTTCGTTGGTGGCGGTCAAGGTGGTCCCCGCCTGCGATGCTTTCCATCAACATTTATAAATTATATTCAGTAAATTTGTATTGTGGGGCTTGTTTTACTCTTTTTTTAGTGTGCAGTCGGGTATTTTGTTTTTTTAATAATAATTTTTTTATTTATAACTTTTTAGCTGTTTTTATTTAACGAAAATGTTGTAGATGTAGAAGACTATGTATATGTAAGTACCATTTTAACCGTGATTGAAATGAATCTAATGATACCGCATACATATTTTTTTAAAGGGAAATTTAGAAAAAATATTATTATGTCTTTATCCCGTGGGACTTTTAGGATAAAATGTATCCTATGACACTCCCGTAATCAAGACAAATCTAACGATACCTCATACATCAAAATCCATCAAGCCGTTTAGGCTACAGGAGGTCACAAAGGAAAAGACATACATACATACTTACATACACTCGAAAAACATTACCCTCCTTCTTTGGCAGTCGGGTAAAAACATCAATTTTCCTGCAGGTAAACATGGCAACACCTAAACTTTTTAAACTGCAGTTTCCATCCCAACTGCCGTTAATTTTGGGCAAATCCCTCATAACATCGAAGGGGCTTAGCACTAGCCCAGAGTGTATAGTTAGAACTAGTGCTAGTTGGTTTTACGTTAACATGATCGAAACGTTACCGCGTCTAGTTTTCTGATTGGTTGTCTGAGTTAGAACGGGTCAATCGGAGTGCCGAGAACGTTATAAGTGTTTCAATCACATTGACGTAAAACAAACTCAGCACAGCAGTGGGCAGTCATGGGCTCTCTATATCCAGATTTACTTCGTATGTTGGCGTATGTCCACTATTTCAATGCTTATGTGTATTATTACATTAATTGCACAAAATGTGTAAACTACTGGTTTCTGTTTGTATTTCCAGTGAGAAGAGAGATTACCTGATGGACAAACACAATCCAAAGAAGTTACAAGTGCGTTGCCTGCTTTTGGGATTTAAAGATTGGAAGGGGGGAGGGAAAGTGCCAGTTACCAGAAAACAATTCTGGTAACTCCACTTACACAATGAAAGAACGATAGTGTTGTTTCACGCCAGTACATTTAATTCGATGACAGGCAACGGAGCTCATATTGCTATTTAATTGGTACCCTACCACATTCGCTAATGATTTAAGGACGTGTATCATAAGTATACTTGGTGCTCTATCCCATTCGCTAGTGATTTAGGTTAGCTAGGAACTCTCTATTCCTATGTGCGCTTAAATATTAAAAACTATGCAACGGATTTTGACGTGGTTTTTTAATAGAAAGTGATTGAAGAGGAAGTTTTATACACCTATATGTATATTAACAGTAATTAGTGGAAAAATTTACTTAGTATTACTATAGCACTCCTGAGAAGTCAGGTCGGCTCGCCAGATTTGTATAAAATACATAGGTCAAGTTTTGAAAATAGAGAATTTGTTGATTTGTATGCAGGCTCTATAGTAAGTATTACAATTAAATGAACTACACGATGCCAGAAGTCACTCAATTACAACACTGCAGCCATGTAATGCTGAAGAAATTATAAAAATTATCAAAGACCTTGATGCCAACTCTAGTAGTGGTATAGATAAAATCAGCATTAAAATTGTAAAAAACTTACAAAATCTAATCTCTGATATGCTGGCGAAATGCTTTAACAAACTTATGAATGACGGGGAGTTTCCCGACTCCCTTAAGGTTGCAAAAGTATCACCTATATACAAATCTGGACCTAAGTCCGACCCTGGTAATTATCGTCCGATCTCTGTACTGCCAGTCATGTCCAAAATATTAGAAAAACTTATACATAGTCGCCTACTGAATTATTTTGATTCCATTAACTTTATATCAGATCGCCAATACGGATTTAGACCTAAAAATAATACCACAATAGCTACAATAGATCTAGTAACAAAAATCAGAGACAATATAGATAAAGGGTACATTGTTCTGGGTGTATTCATTGATTTAAAAAAAGCATTCGATACTGTAAGCCATACTTTACTTTTAAACAAGCTTGAACATGCTGGTATCCAAGGAAACGCACTCAAAATGCTAAAATCTTATTTAACTAACAGACAACAGATAGTTAAGATAAATGAAGTTGTAAGTAGTGCTCTACCTGTCACATACGGAGTACCCCAGGGATCCATACTGGGGCCGCTATTATTCTTGACTTACATAAATGAGATTGCAGCACTTAATATTCATGGTCATATAACTTTATACGCCGACGATACTTGCTTATTTTATTTTGGAAAAAACATACATGACATCATTTCAAAGGCTCAAGACGATTTGGATCTATTATTCGAGTGGTTCCAATGTAATTTATTATCTATTAATATTTCAAAAACATGTTTTATTATATTTAAAGCTAAAAACAAAAAGATTCCAGATCATAGACCATTAACTATTGATAACATTCCGCTAACACAAAAACAGTGTGAAAAATACCTTGGCTTAAAAATTGATAGCAATCTTAATTGGAACAACCAAATAGATTATATTAAAGATAAACTCTCATCGCTCACTGGTTGCCTCTACAACATAAGAAATTGTATACCCAAAAATATTCGTTTTACCATTTATAACTCTGTTGTTAAATCACATTTACTTTACCTAATAGAAATTTGGGGCAACGCAGGTAAAACAAAATTGCAAGAATTACAGAGAGTACAAAACAAGATCATTAAAATATTATTTCGCTATCCACATTTGACACCTACTTATAAAATTTTTGAAGAAACCAAATTGATGAATATTAAACAACTTTACATGTATACCACTTGTATTCTAATAAGAAAAATTTTAGACAAAAAAATTAAAACCAATTTATCATTTACTAAAATTTCGGAGGTATCTAAACGTAGCAGGCGTCGCCCTAGTTTACTTGTATTACCTAGACCTCGTACAAACTACTCCAAAAGAAACATCACCTATGAAGGAGCAAATATTTATAATAATTTACCGCCTAATATAAAAAATGTAAGCTCGTTCAACATTTTTAAATCTCAACTGTCTAATTATATAATAGAACACTTTTCTTATCCAAAGTTGCATTGATCCAGTCGAGTCATATAAATGAATAAAAACAAAAAACCAAAAAAAAAAAAAAAAGAAAAATGTTGAGCGGGTGCCTACCTACCTGGTTAACACTTTACATTTTTTTCGCTGTTATTGTTTTACTACCCTACCGGCTAAAGAAATTACTAATAGTCTCTAATGATGTTACGATTGTGTTACGTAAACAGTGTTTACTTACTTATCTCGGTGGCGGGTAATTTGATAATTAAACTAAATGTTAATTTTGTATTCTCATGTAAGTGGCTTTATTGTCTTTTTGGGAATAAATGATTTAAACACTCTAGAGAAAAATACCTACTTTTAAGTAGTCTATTATATTCCTTTTGTTTTTAAATTAAAAGTCTCAGAATCATAAACAACTGTTGATTACGCGGATTCCATGTAATCGTCATTGTTTTAGTTAATTTGACGTATTTTTGTACTATTTTATCAAATAAATACAATTTTTTTTAAATTTTCAATCCCAAGTAGGTTACGATATTAGTTCCATTAAAGGCATGAAAAATGTATACTTATAATGTTATTGATAAGAAGTAAGTAGTAATATAATTTTTTTCCAATGTTTGAGGGTAATCTCTTTCTTGTTGTAAAATATGAAAGATAACACAGACGTGACGTATTTTATTTATTCGTTTTATGAAGGCTTGCATATTAACTAAAGAAGGTAACAAAAATAAATAATTAAGCTGCTAATAACAAGCCTCCAAAAATATATGTATATTTCATGACTAGTACGGAATGGCTGTCGGCGAGTTGCAATGACGGTTCCGTACGTGTACTGAACGACTATTTTTAAAACAGTTGCGAAAAAATTAAACAATTTAATCAAATTATAAAAACACAAAAACAACTAATAGTCGCGAAGATAATTTCGGAAAATGGCGCCAACGGTAGAATGTGGCAGTTTTTTCACCCATTCTGGTAGGCAAAGGGAACTGCCCATACAGCCAAGTCTTTAGTACTTAGTATTATTTATTATAAGAAATGAAATTGAAATTTAATGATATGAAATGAACTGAAACCTTACCTAACTCATTCAATCAAATAATTAATTGGCTTAATTAGTACCTATGGGTAGCTTCTTCTTCTTTCTTCTTTAGATTTTTTTTTAGTTAAAACTTCATGGTTGTTTTTTTTTTAAAGAAATTATTTTGACAGTTGGGAAAGAAAACACACGAGTTCGGAAAAGGCAAAAAAGCACGTATGAAATAGCCCAGTAGCCCAGATCCCGAACGCTACACGTCCCTGCAATACGCCACTTTTTGAGCAACTGTATCAAAAATAATATTTTCGATTAACTAATGTTAGAAAGTTGAAGTAATGTTTTTTTTTTGTTTAAATTTACGTTGCTACATGTATCAGAGTATTGATAACCTCTTCCTTTTCTGAAATCGGTTAATAATAGATGTTACTTAACTATTCATTTCCGTAATTTAGCCAATTTAAGTAGGTAGGTAAGTAACTTTAACATGCGCGGATTTTCGTCGGAATTTCTTTATCCTAGTACCTATACTGCTTTCCCAAGCGGACACCGATGTCTTGTGACGTCATCGCCTCCTTGTGTTTCCAGTAATTCCAGTAAGTATTTGGATAAACAAGTCTATGAAAGAATTTATAACATTGTTTTTAAAAAACTGATTTTATCAAGATCATTTAAAATTATAATTTTAATTTCTTTTTTATGGGATATCGGCAAACGAGCAGGCAGATTACCTGATGGTAAGCAATCTGCGCCGCGTATGGACACCCGTAACACCTGCGTTGCCGGCCTTTTGGGTAAGGGTTGCGGATATTTGAGGATTGGGAAAGGATAGGGGAGGGAGAGGGATGCTTGGGAGAGCAATGCTTCGGCACGAATGGACCATTCGTGCCGAACATGGCTCTCCCACACTTTTTTGGTTGCCAAAGAATGGGTTAAATTGAAATTACATTAGAAACTATAATACCAAATTTAAGAATAGCTCTGAATCATAATAATATGTGATACATCGGCCAGGGAAGTAGTTAAGGGCAATTTTAATTTATGGTAGGTGCGCGAAGTCTGGATCTGTCGTAGATACCGACCATAGTTAATAGTAACTACAAAATAGATTGTCAGATCCAATGACATCTAACTAATTATTTGTATTTTCGGTTAGTTATGAGGTCATGAGAATTTATCGACTTGTAATTCGAGACAATATACAAATGAAATGGATGAATTTAAGTCCAAAGTTGTGGCCATGTCAGTGACCTTTCCTGACATGGAAAACCATAGTGATACGTCACCGGGCAACCTAACACCTGCATAACATGACACCCAAAATCGATAACATGATAACACTAACTTAGCACAGGAGTCTGATCTTTGGGCAACAGACAATAAAGGTTAGATTATGGTGAACGCTTTTAGCAATATGGGATCCCTCGACAGTGGTGCCCAAGCAAGCGTAAAGGTACAGTATGACATACGAATACGTAGGCAGTTTTTATCATAATAAAATGTTCGTCCTATAAAGTATTTAGGGTTTTATAATAATGATTTTTTTGTGACTTTATTGTTGAGATCCAGGTCCACCTAAAAGAGCCTTTTCTTAAAATTGGGAAAAACTAACCCAATGGAATCTCGTTTTTAACTTTATAGACAAACTAGAAATTTGGACATAATTTTAGATTTTTTATAGGATGGGATCAAGCGAGCTTATTTTCAGCGATTAGCGCTGCCCATTACATTCACGACATCCTATAAGTAGATAAGTCTTGTGTATCTCGCTGGTCGGCTAGCCGAGCCGTCATAGATGAGAGCAGTAATCCATACAGCCCGAATTTGCGATTGGTATCGATAAAACAATATTGTTTCGGCGCGAAATACCGCCTCATCTACAAGACAATATTCAATTAAGTATGCTACGGATGTTTAAAATAACATCAACTGAAAACATGATCAGAACTCTGTTTTTTTTTTGAGACTAGATTTAGAACCAACCAAATTAGACTAATAGTGTTGAAGAACACGATTGAGGAAGTGTTGTTGTTGTTGTTGATTTATAAATCAACAATAAATATAAATATCAAACATAAGTGTTTGTTTCTTCTCCATGTGAGAAGAGGCCTGTATTTAAAAGTTGCGACTTACAGGCTGTATAGGCTTACAGGTAGACAGTTTGATAATGGGGAATTTTGGGGCGAGAGCTAAACAAAGGAAGCACTTCGACTTCGAGCAAGATCTGAACGTCACTAGATATTGCAAAATAACACCAATGTCTTTAGTTATGCCATTCGCATTTTAATATCAATGTGACCGTAGCGTTGGAATCCGTGGGGGTTAAGAAGGTTGGACTAACTCATCTACGCTGCGAAGTTTTTGGAATAAGTTACTAATCGTAAGAATTTCAAAGAAGACAGGACTGTGTTGTATGAAAATAGTGTGTTACGTTACTTGACGCATTACTGAAAACCAGTATAGTAACAACAAATGTCCATATTATATTGATTCTACTTCTACTAGATTTATTTCAGTTTTCAACAACATTATCATAGAATAACAAACCCCGAGTTACTTGTGACCATCAGTCAATTCAGAGAACACCATTAAAAAAATGTTGTAGGTAGGTGATAAATGTGTGTTCAATGACACTTCCCTGTTCCGTTGTAATACATGGAAGTCAGTGGAAGCTCGCGGGTCGCAGGAGACACGGTCGGCTTGTCACCAGTATGTAGTTCAATGTCCCGACAAATTCACCGGGTCTACGGTGACGAATCGCTAGTAACACGAAGCGAAAGCGAATTCACTCTGCGTAGTTGGTAGGTAGGTAGGTATGTACCGGGTGATTTTTGTTTGGAAACTTCTAGAAATAAATAGGTAGATAAGTGTTTGGTTTTTGAATGCATTAACTTTAATTAAGAGCTAATTAATTACTATAAGTTGGTACATAATAGTAGATATATAAGCATATTAGTGAGCTGCGACTATGCTAAGGTAAAAACGAGAGCAAATTCTCTTTTCAAATCTTAACAGAAACAAATTAGTAGATGGTAAGTTATTTTCAAAACTGACGCTTACCTGATAGGTAATAGTTACCTATATGATTACGTCATTGTTAAAATCCTTTACAAAGGTTTTTTTTAATCTCACTTATTATAATGAACATTAAAAATTTACTTCTGAATTTCATTGATGTTAAGAATTTATCAGTTTTCAGTACTCAATTACTTATCAGTAAAATGAAATTGGAAATTTTAATTCGCAGTTTTGCGAACAGGAAAAGGATACCTACAGGTAGTTTATTTTTAATTACTTAAGTAAGATTTATTTAGCAATTCAATTCACAGTCGTAGGTCACACTGGTTAGGTAGTTACTAGCCGATTATTGGTGCTTATCGTGGCATTGTTTTAACCACGCGTTAGTGTGTTTAACGTTGGTACCTACATGGATTTAATTCCCCAATGAATGATAAGTTGTGTAACTAGCACAAAAAGTTTACTTTGTCTATTGATCATAGAGTTATTATTTCATTAAGAGATGGTACTGCCACTAAGTATTTGAGTAATAGTGATGATAAAATCGTGTTCTAGGAGTCTACATAGTTATAATTTTAGATGTTGACTGTATTCACTTATTGTACAATTCAAGCCACAATTATATACGATCGATAATAGGTACAATCTTACCTATCTTATTTCTAGTAACTCGAAATAGCACTAGAAATTTTAGATCGAATCCTTCCCAAATGAAATAAAATAGGTACCTCTGGTAGGTACTTGTGACTAAGTAAGGTACCGAGGCAGCCCTTCTTTTTACTTCTCTTCGCCCTGCATGGGCCGGGAATAGGTAAGTTTCAGACTCTCTGACTAAAACCACCCCGTGCCTTCTAATCCGAGCCGGGGATCCGCTCCGCACTCATTACACCGAAAGAAGCATATAAGTAGGTATCTACTTTATACACACGTTTCACTGTGCTATCCTGAACTTTCCTGGCTCACTACCCAACTCATTTGTGTCTATCTTTACGTTCGTGACTATTGTTGAGCGGAGAAGTCATCCTATGGCTTCTCCCGCCCTAGGTGGGACGAAAAAGTAGACTTACTGACTAAAAACCAACAATGTTTTATTGAAATTTTGGAATTATCTTGCAGGATTGTGTACACTGATTCTTACACATTACTAACGGCGAACAACATTGCGAATGTGCTACATAATTATATTAAATTGGGTAGCTAGGTAGGTTGGTATACTTGGTATATCGACTACATGCTTCGCAATTTTGCTTAGGTAAAGTTGAAAAGGAGAGGACAGGGAAGATGATAATATTACTAGGGTGGAATTACTCAAAGGGTCCGTGGATGCCATAAACACCCTACTAAACTAGAGCTGAATAGGCGATTTTTTAGTAATGTACCTAATAATCGTAATAGGCTTATAGGACATTGGATTGAGGACATAGATAAGTAAGGCAGGACAAGAAGACGATTTTTAATCTGTACAATGCTTTGTCTACCTGTTACCGTTATTTTGGTTTATTCAGTTTAATAAATTTCTTACTGTTTAGCATTTTAAAACTGTTTAGAAGAGCGTAAAATAATGAAGTAAGTAATAAAATAACAATAATTCATTTTGGTCATCTTTTCAACTTAATTAGCCGGCGTTCTTATTCTTATTGGCTTTCGTAATTTAATTACTTGATACAAAAAATTTAATTATGAAAATTGTTACACATTTTGTTAAATTAGGTATCCGTATTAAGTATTTTATCTCTTGTTATTTTAATTTTGCGTCCACTGTTATTTTATGTTATCGAAAATACCTCTTGCCTCTACTTAGTATTTAGGTACCGATATCTTATCGAGATTGCATCGACAAGATTGTCCACTTTTTACTTACTTATGAAATCTGTCTGTTGTCATTTTTGTAGTTTTTCACAGCACTCTTACCACAACACTGTTCACAACGACCGCACGAAAGTTTGTTCAACTCATTTTGAACAAATTGCCACCGTTTAGAACCGCGAAATTGATAAGCTGAGAAAGTTTACTGTTTTGTCACACTTCACACTTTAGCGAATTTATTAGTAACTATTTGAATGTTTACACATACTTTATTAAACTTAATTCAGTAGAAATATTTGCTACAGTTGTACAACTTTTATTTAATTTACATTTGTTAGATAGCTACGTGTAATGATATAATAATAACAGAACCACCTGTTTAACTCAGGTGAAACATTGACTGTTGTCAAGTCACAGACGTAACACAAACTTACGCTTCGTCAAACTTTAAATGAATGGTATTGAACGATAAACCACAATGAGAACGAGTATGGTGAATGAATGACTAGGACTTGTGTTTAGTACTGCTAGTGACATCTAGTGATGGAGAAAAAACTAAGTCATACAGCGCCATCTGTTGTCGAGTAGTAGCGATTCCATATTAGTTATTAATACTACTCCTCAATAGGTGACACTACTCACAACCGTTTAAGACCTCCAATATTTGAATTTAATTAAAATTAGCATACTCTTTTGGTTATACACTAGAGGTTAATAATTCGTGATAATTACCATCTTGTTTTTAGATGTTAAAAGTAGCTTTTTCCAGTTACTCATTGTTTGTTTTCTCGTTATTTTGGTTATTTAATAAGGGTCTCCAACAAGAAATACACTATGCATTCACGAAAGCAGCAAAGATAAAATAAAAACAATGTGCTTCTTCAATTACAGGAGCCTACATCATGCAAATATATACTTATTTAAATTATAAATGGTTATTGCCATCATTTTGTTTAAACGTGTAAGTAAGTATCTACTAATTACCTAGCAAGAAAATAAAAATGTTGGTTGAAAGCCAAAGTGAGACTTTTTTATAATATATAGGTACGGCCGTGGTATCACTCCGGTCGAGCCGACCCATTCGTACCGAAGCATGGCTCTCCCACACTTAGTTCCAGAGAAACCATTTTTTTCATTGGGATAGTATCATCAAATGGCTTATCTCACCTTGGGCGAGGCGAGAGGGAGTGTCAGACTCTTACTGACTAAAAACCACGTTCCTTCTCCTACTCCAGTCCGAAGCTGCGATAGGTACATTATTGCGCTTAACCCGCAACCGAGGGCCGGGCACGCTATTGTAGCAGCGGTAGGAGTGGCTTGAGAGACGCCACGGCGTCCTTACCATCCGCCTGACGCAGGTGCTTACCGGGCTCTTAGCTTCGGTAGGTTCATGGAGGCCATGGTGCGGAGCGAGAGGAACTGGGACGCCGTCTCCTCCTTCTGTGAAGCAGTTAAGCTCGCAAAGAGCCTTCGCCTTAGCGGATGGTGAAACTTATTTGATTTTTGTATTCCGTAATGGCATTTATCTAAGGCAGATGGGTATCTGCCTTAGATAAATGCCATTACGGAACGGTTTGTGGGTACAAACCTATATTAAAAGCATGGCGTAATAAACAATAAATAGTCAAACGATACATCCAAGTATTCACCCATTATCATAAAAGCCGCCGCAATAACCTCACCTAAAAGTGAATTATACTGAGTTTATCTCAAGTACGCGATACATTATCGAGCGCGCGATATAACGCCCACTTATCTGGCCCTTTAACTATTTTTAGACGGTAAAATTATTGTTCTAAATAGGAATAGGATTCGCCTATCACTACCCAAAACAAAACAACTTAAACTGTTAAAACAAAAAATTCGTACGACTGTATAGATAGAGTAGGTATGTAGTGAAAAAATAAGTGTGGGAGAGCCATGCTTCGGCACGAATGGGTCGGCTCGACCGGAGTGATACCACGGCCTCACAGAATACCGGCGTGAAACAACCCACAGCGTTGTGTTTCGCCGTGTGAGTGAGGTTACCGGAAGCCCAATCCCTCCCATTCCCCTATCCCTTCCCAATCCTTATATCCGCAACCCCCATCCCCAAAAGCCCCCCACTCGTAACTCCTTTGGTGTTGCGGGTGTCCATGGGCGGCGCCGATTGCTTACCATCAGGTAATACGTCTGCTCATTTGCCGACTTGTACCATAAAAAAAATCCTAGTAAAGAGACGTAGTAAGTTACTGTAGATACTGTAATATATTTCGAGGAGGGTACTTAATGATTGTCTTGTACTCGTACTTAATATAATTTTCAATTTGACTTTATTATTACAATTTATTGCCTACGGGGTGTAGTCCTTACCTTAAATATCCTAAACCCTAATTACCAGAAGGCCGGCAACACAATCTTAACTCCTTAGGTGTTGTCATCTTTCCTTAACAACCTACGAAAATGCTACAATAGTACCTCCACAACTGACTTGCGGATAGGTAAGTACTTATAACTGCTATTCTATCGAGATTATCCCATCAATTTTCATTGTTTCATCAGAAATCCAATGTATTAGATATCTATATATCTTGTTGATTGAGTCAATTTTAATGCAAATATCGAGCAAGAGAAACTGAATCCAGGTTCTACAAAGCTTCAGTACTGTGACCTCGGCCTGTAGCAGAAGAAGGAACGGGAAATCTATCCCTACGTCGAGCGCGAGACCAAACTCCAAGAGTGCCAAACTCTTAGTGACAAAATATCTACCATTCATAATTGATCTACGTATTAGAATCAAATAAGTACCTAATAAGTTTCGTTTGAATATTATTTTTTAATTTATTTTATACGCATTAACGATGAATAATAACAATAAAATTAATTTCGAAGTTCAATAAAAAGCTATCAAACGGTCATAAGCTCACGAGTGCGTGTAATCAAAGCGATTTGATTATGGAACTTCAATGTTGATAAGTTGCGATAACAGAGGGCGCTTTCGTCAAGCACTACACGCGAAATACATTAAAGATAAGAGCTTAATGGATAACAAATATTTACAGATCGTGCAATTAGCAGTAAATATACAATTTCGGTAAAATATAGATTGTGCCTGATAGATTATAATTAAAGCAGACCTTTTTAGATAGGATGGGGATTAATCATATATTCCGCCAATCAATATCACGTATCAGACTGTTGTGAAGCCTAAATGGTTTTGTTATCTGGTAATTTACTTTGACTATCACAAGTATGAGGTTTTGCAAACCCTAAAATGGGTAACTTACTGTTTACCTGCGTCATATTTTGTAACTAAGAGAAGAGATAATGGTTTTGCGTTGTCATATCCTAACATAGTGTGAGAGAGCCAAGTTTCAGTATACAATGGGTCAACTCAACCGGCGTGAAACAACCACAGGGTTGTGTTTCACCTAGTAAACTTACTCGTATACCTCAAAAGCCCTTCCCGATCCTTAAATATCTGAAACCCTTACCCCAAAAGGCCGGCAATGCACTCGTAACTAACTCATTTAGTGTTGTGGATGTTCATGGCGGCGCCAAGTGTTTACCATCAGGCAATCCGTCAGCTCGTTTGCCAACCTACTTATCCCATAAAAAACTTTTTCTTTGATTATGTTCAGTACGAGTATAGATAAACAGTTGATTTTGGGGTTAGAGACCTAAGAGTGAACCTAGTGAGAGTACGGCGCGTAGCGAGACGACCACAGGCCACCACAGACGAGGGGCTGGGCTGACGTTCAGCCGGGATTGCGGGCGTAATGTGGCAATGCGGCCTCGGCCTAAAGCAGGAGAAGGAACAGGGGGTTTTTAGTCAGTAAGATTCTGACACTCTCTCTCGCCGTACCCAGATGTCATTCGATGATTTTCCACATACAAAAAAAAAAAAAAAACGCAACGTCGGCTGAATATATTATAATTGCTGAAAATATGAATACTAAATATGTACGTATGTAAAGTTTCAGAGAAATTATTGCAGGAGATTATTCCTAGCAGAGACCACACTGCAACAAACAGACGGTTTACGACTTCCTTCGTCCTGCATGACGGTCCACTGTCCCGTTCTGTTGTGCAACTATAAACATAACTAAACACTATCATACTATCCAAGTCATGGTGGCCCGAAGGTTGGAAGGTTTTCATGCATGAGAATGTAGGTTCGGAACCTAGGAAGTATCAATGTGACTTTTTGTGAGTTAAATGTACTTTCAAGGTTCGGTTAGGTACCACAGACGTGCGGAGAAGGTAACATCGTGAGGAAACCTGGAATTATGGCAGAAGGGAGTGCCAGAATCTTACTGCCGCCGCGGTGATGCATTGCGCTTAATCCGCAACCCCGGCTGAACATCAGTGGTCTATTGGCTCTTTGAGGTGCGCACGAAACGCTATGCGCCGTACACTCGTGTTTGGTTCTGGTCGGTCTAGCTCTAGGGTTGCGGGCGCAATAATGAATGACGCCCCCGGTCCGGAACTGGGTGAAGAAACACGGCCTTTTTAGTCAGTGACAGTCTGATACTTCCTCGACATTCCCAGGGCATTTCGTTGGTTCAGATGAACAGGGTATTAAGTCAAAAAAGCATAACTTTCAGGAGAGCAATTTTAAGTTTTCAAATCGCTATATTTCGATTTATGTTAGTAATTGCTTAACCTAACTTACATATTTTGTAAACGATATTATCGATACGCAACCGCGTTGGTTGGAAAGATCGCTTGATTTGAAGTAGGGCTGTATTTTTAGGTTAAAAATCGTAAATTTTGAGTTTATACCCTGTTCATCCAAACCAAAGATTTGATGATGCTCCCTTATTAAAGGTGAGGTACTTACCTGAACGGTGACTTGCAAATAAGGCATAATGTTAGACAAAAATCTAAAATGGTTCTAAGCAAAATTATAAGAGTACTAGAGTAAAAAGCATCAGCGAAACGCTTTTTCTTAAAAAAAAAATGTTTGTATACGCACCCATGCCCATGACGTAGGAATCCTAGAGTGGAGCAAAGACGTTCCTTTTTTACCTAATCAACAAAAATCTAGATTTAAATTGCCTGAGCATTGAACTAGACTCATTTTTTTTAAACACGGAAAACTCAACATTATACATTGAAATTTTTCTTCGCAATTAAATATAATGTAAATTCACATACTCAGTAAAAGCTCAGATATAAAATTAGCATCATCATCATCATCATCATCATCATCATCAGCCTATAAAAGTGCCCACTGCTGAGTAAAGGCCTCTTTTCATGCGGAGAAGGTTAGACCATTAATCACCACGCTTGCTCAATGTGGTTTGGCGATTTCAAACGTATTATTAGAATAACTATCGTGAGACATACTAAATTAACTAAAAGTCGCGTGTTACTCACGTGTAAATATTGAGAAAAGTAGGCTGCGCGACGTCGCCGCGTCCGCGCACGCTGCTCATGAGGAAGAATCCCTCTGTGGTTCGAAACTAGTAGAGCTTTTCTCAATTGACACACGTG